GGTTGGCTAAATCGGGTGCCAATGGGGATCTTTTACATAGCGAGAGAGAGAGATGCCTTTGTAATTTGTGTGTGCTTCCTATTGTACATTCTCTCATGTACCACTTTCTAGTTTAATGAAATATGTTACCCTTCATCTCAAAAAAAATAATTAATATTAATATGATTTATATTTTATATTTTTCTAATATTATATTTTATAGCTTATATTTTTTTGTTAATGAGTTTGAGTTTATATTTTTAATAAATATTATGTTTAGTATTTTAAAATTTTAATTTTTTTTTTATTTTTTGGTTTTTTGAATTTTTTTAGCATTTTTTGCATTTTTTCTCCTTGCTTCAAAAAGGTGTGTGCCTTACCCCACCCCTTGTCTGGCTAATCCATCTGCAAAAGAGTTTGCACTTATCTTTTCTTTTTATCAATAACAATGAATTTTATTAGTGATTGAGAAAAACAGAATTACATGGGAAAGAGCTAAAGAAACTTAACTCCCAACTACCCAAAGTACATCCTAACCATGAGACAATTAAAAAACAGCCCAAAAGATAGAATTTTTGTTCACCCCTTGCCTAGCTAGACCATCTGCCAATGCATTTGCACTTCTCTTTATCCAAGTGCATCAAACTTCCATATCTTTTGTCAACCAATTGTATTTCCTTTATTCATTGTTGTAGCTCCATAATCTTGAATTTTCTTCTTTTAAGCAATTCACTACAGTTTCAGAGTCTCCTTCTAAGATCAGCTTATTTATGTTCAAATCATTGGCCCTTTGAATCCCTTCCAAAGCTGCTAAAATCTCAGCCCCCAATGAGTCCCCTATTCCAATTGGCCCAGAAAACATACCTATCGGCCATAGTTGTCAAACGACTACGCGACTAGGCGCTTTTCAAAGAACACCTCGCCCAAATGCCAACTATGTTAGGCGCATGCTTCGGGGGCTGAAGCAAATATATACTATACAAATATTTATTAAATAAAAAAATATAAAATATATAATATTTTATTGGTTGTTTTAGTTTTTATAATAGAACCTATTGCATGTTATCATTCTTGGTCTTAGACAAGGTGATCCTCTCTATTTTTCTATTCACTTCTTCTTCTTCTTCTTCTTCTTCTTCTTCTTCTTCTTCTTCTTCTTCTTAGTTTTGTTCTCAGTTTCCTGGTTTAAAACAGTGGTTACACCCCATTTTTCTCCTCTTCCTTTTTTGTATATTTTCTCCAAGTTTTCTGAATCATTTTTTTGGAAAAAAAAACAGGGGCTCCGCCCCCTTCTTTTGTTGTTAAATTTCCTGCATGTTTTCAGCTTTTTTTTTCTCATTATTGGTGTCTGAAACAGGGGCTCCACCCCTTCTTTTATTCTTCTTTTTTAGTATTTTTTTCACCAGATTTTCTTGGTCTAAAACAGGGGCTCTGCCCACTTCTTTTGTTCTTAATTTCTTGCACTTTTTCAGCTTTCTTTTGTTCTCATCATTGGTTTCTGAAAAAGGGGCTCAGCCCCTTCTTTTCTTCCTCATATTTCTTCTTTTATTTTAATATTTTCACCAGCATTTCTGGGTCTAGAACAGGGGCTCTGCCCTCTACTTTTCCTTTTCATTTTCTTCTTTTATTTTAGTATTTGTTCCCTATGTATTGTTGATCTAAAATAGGGGCTCTGCCCCCTTCAGTTCTTTCAAGTTCTAACTTCTAACTTGCAAGTCACAACTCTAATATATTGTTTTGCCTACTTGAAGCAACACCGCACAAAAGTGCAGAATACATAAAACCAAAACAAAACTAGTTCAAAAGGGGTAGAAATCCATCGGCAAGCCTTATTTTTAAATTCCGTCACCTAGGCGAGGGCTAGGCGCCCGCCTAGGCACCTGGGTGCCCCATGGCCACCTAGCCTCGCCTTGGCGCCTTGAAAACAATGCTATCGGCTATCACATTCCCTCTTTCATCCCTCAAGACTCCTATTCCAGAGGGCCCAAGATTGCCCATGCTACTGCCATCAAATTTCAGCTTGGTAAAGCCAATCGGTGGAGGGGTCCAACAAGAACTTGAGACCCTCTTGGCTGGGGCTGAATCTGCAATTTCCTTCTAATTCCTAAGTAAATCAACAACTGAGAAGTCCACAAATAAATCCAAGGTTTCCAGCCAATGAACTACACTTGCAAGAATCACTGCTTCCACAGTTCTTGCCTTTTCTGAGAAGATTCTTAATTTTCTTTCTTCCCAAATAGACCAACATACTGCAGCCCTAACACATTCTCCACATAATCTTTACCCTTTTAGTTGGCCAGCTAGAAGGAGAGGAAGTAAACAAGCTTTGCACATCCATTGGAGAGTTCCGCCTACACCCAAATAAGGAAAGAAATCATTCCCAAATAAAGTTTGTAAATTGACAGGAAATTAGTAAGTGAAACCCAGACTCACCAGCAGCTTTGCAGAGGACACACCAATGAGGAGACAAACATCTATTGGGCCTTTTACTTTGAAGTAGATCTCCTGTGTTGACTCTTTCTAGGAAGGCCTTCCAACAGAAGCTTCCCACCTTCAGAGGAATAGGTTGAGACCACACCTCCTTAACAGTAAAGGACAAACCAAAAGGAATAGCCAGTTGTGTTAAGGCTTAAAAAAAAGAGGCACAAGAGAAGGTCCCAGAAGGAGAGAGAATCCAAATTCTGCTGTCTACCTTTGTTGGTTCCAGGAACACTCCTTCGAGGATGGATAAAAGTGATAAGGTACTGTCCAATTCTGATCTCTCTCCTCAGTCCCAAATTTCAACCAAACCCCAAAGAAGAGTCAGAAGGTACAAGAAAAGTATAAAATGATTCATCCTTGAAGGTAGACATGGAAAAAAAAATTGGGAACTGTTCTTTCAAAGGAGAATCCCCAACCCAAACTTGTTTCCAAAATTTAATAAGGTGGCCAGAGTGCAAATCATATCGGATCCAGGGAAAAAAAAGAGGCAGAATAGCTTGGATTGCTTTCCAAGGAAATGCCCTTGTAGTTCTTGCCAGAATGCCAGAGTCCCATCCATTCTCTGTAAAACTTTTGTTCATTGCAACCCAATAGTGAACTCTACCCCATAGTTCCTTTACATATAAATGTTATGATTTCTCCACAGCTTCAAAAATTCTGCCATTTCTTTCCATTCACACAATCCAAAAAATTGCTAGAGGAATCACTTTCCAAACTACTTTTCTAGTTTTCCTTTTTTTACTCAGGCCCTTCAATTGCCAACTAGTTTAAAGCTCCAGCACAAATTTTGGAAGACAAAAGTGTAACCCAAAAATGTCTAAAACTTTGGAGCCTTCTAGAAAAACAACAATGCGAGAATAAGTGGACAACAGATTCCACTTCCTTGTTACAGAAAATGCAGTTAGTGCTTTTTTTTTATGATTAACTGAAACTTTTATTAAAACTTAAAATAAAAAGAGAAACAAATATAGGAGAGCAAGGGAGGGGCACAATCTCTTAACCCTCCCCAAATCAAAAACTCATTTTACAATATTGCCCAAAACAAAAAGAGAAACAAATGCAGTTAGTGCATATTGATAAAAAAACGCAGTTAGTGCTATAAAATAGAACTCCCCTTTTCAGTAAGTTGTCTCTAGTCAAACATTTGTTAAGAGAGGCTGTCCACATAAGAAAAGCAACCTTCTTTTGAAGCAATTGTGCACCAAACACTCTTCCAAGGAAAATCTCTCCCTCCTCTCCACCTGCTTACTATTAAAGGCTTTAACCGAAAAACTACCATCCTTGCACCATCTCCAATCTCTTTTATCAATTTACCCTAATTTACCCCGTATAAAGCTATACAGATTATGTAACATGTCAGCCAATTGCTCTACTGTGCAATCATTTAAGTTCCTCCTGAAAGTAAGAGATCAAACTGCTGTCCCATTTTGAAGCATCAACCAGTCTGCCACCAAAGTTCCTTGTTAACAGCTAAATCAAAAAGCCCAGGATATAAATCTTTCAACCTAACTTCATACCAGAGCTTCCCTGTTAGCATAAGAACCATACATAAAAGCACAAGGAGAAAATCTAAAAGCACTAACAGGATATAATCTTCTTTGAGCATGAGAAGAACCATACTTCAAAATGGGACAGCTTCCTTATCCCATTTTGAAAATCAACTTTCCCCCTTTAGATAGATACTTAGTCTTCCACCCTGAAAGCCTTTTTTCCACCCTTTCAATGACTGGATTCCAAACTGATTTTGCAATGCTCTTCTCTATTAGTGAAAGCCCTAAGTATCTTGTGGGTAATTTACAAAAATTACAGCCAACAAATCAGCATTCACACCCTCACCAACAGCAAACAATTCACTCTTAAAAAAGTTGATTTTCATACCTGAGATGGCCTCAAACCATTTTAAGATGAAACTCAGATTCAAAACTTTGTCTGAAATTGAATCTGCCTTACAGAAGAAGAGAGTGACACCCGCAAACTGTAAAAGAGGGATGCTCCTCTCCTCACACATCCCGAAACCCTCAATCAAGCCCAGCTACCCCGCTCTCTTGACCATCTTGCTGAGAGCTTCCATGATGAAGATAAAAAGGAGGGAAGGAAGAGGATCCCCTTGCCTGATCCCTCTCAAACTAAAAAATCTTCCATGCAAGCAACCATTAAAAATAATTGAGAAACTCAAATTTGAGATACAAACTTTTATATGGTTCCTCAATTGGTTCCAAAATTCATCCTTTTGAGCATATAGTCCAAAAAAGACCAGCTGACATGGCCGTATCCACAAAAACTCCATCCAAAATATGCCTCCCTTCAACAAGGCTTTTCATTTTAGAAGACAACACCTAAGCAATAATTTTTACACACTTCCAACAAGGCTAATAGGACAAAAATCCTTCACATTTGCAGCATAATAAGTTAATAACATTACTGAATGTCAAAATAAAAAAAAAGAGCAACTACATATCATTGGTTTATACAACAACCACAGAATAGTTCCAACATGTTAGCACTTATCAAAAAAAAAGTTCTAACATGTTAGCAGATACCTTTTGAAACCTTCCTGGAAGAATTCTTCCCTTCAGAAACCAAATCATCTGGAGAGGGTCTATCAAACTTGAATGGGTCTGTTTTCAATAACATGAATGTTTAGAACTATGTGTGGCAATCATGGAACTTGACAGTAACAAACATGAATAAAAAAATGTTTCAAATAGTTGACCATAGTATAAGAAATTAAATTTGAATTTCAAAATTCAAATACAGAAAAACATAATAATTGGTGTACAGAAATCTCAATTATGCCTTGCATGAATGTTTCTTTACTTTTTAATCAGCACCCAATAAATGATAGAGAACAAATAAATTTTATCCTTCTGGAGTCACATCCTTTTTTAGATTATGCAGACCTATGTTGATATGGTAATTGCAATAAGGAGACTTAAATGCTTTATGGAAATCAGAAAAATGGCATTGGATATTTCCAGTCCTGTGGAAGTTATTGGCCTCTTTCCTCACAAAATCATCACTTTCTTGCTGAAAGATAATGGCCATTTTGGGCGTCCGACGAGGCAATGATGCAAAAAGAGACTTGGCCATTATGGATGCTCCAGAATCTTTGCACATGTCATCAACTGCATGAAAGAACTCTATTCTATAAAGGGGCAAGAAATGTAAAATAAGGTTGGATAAATACCAACTCATATCACAGAATTCCTTAACCATTATAGGATATAGAAACTGGCATAATGCTTCTATTAACACCTTAATACTAACATACCTGTTTTCTTACTGCCAGTGCTGCTAACATTAACTGGTGGATTCCGAAAAACCCCACAAATGTCACAGACAGGCATACTTTCATCATTATCATATGTGCAAATGGAGCAACGCCAAATACCAGGCTTGGCAATTGCCTGCCTTACCTCAAGCATTCCTCCTGTTAGAAGAAGTGAAGTGAGAGTAAACAAATATGTGGAAATGACATATTTGTGCAGCAAATAGTAAGAGCAGATAGGATCCTGCTCACATCACCATATCAACAAATTCAGTTAACCACCAGTACAGAAAAGACCATTACCAGTGCTGCTCCCAGTGATCCTGATGTAGAACCTTTAGTCTTGAAATTTTCTAAATTTTATGTACTTCTATATTTTTGGACTGTAGGGGTATTTTGGTCATTTTAGCATGTCTGTGGAGTCCATGCAATAGTTTTATTTATGCGAATATTGGAGTTTATTTTCTACTGGTGTTTAGAGCTGTCAATAGGTCGGATCTGGTTCGGGACAGGGTGTACCAATCCCATTCCAATTACTAATCAGGACAATAAGCAGGACCCAGAACCAGACAGTCCGAACGATTTATTAATCAGGACAACCGAGTCTGACCCAATTATACTTGGCGCCTATAATTACCAATGATAATAACAATTTAGAACTTCATTTTGAGAATAAAAACCTTAATAAAACTGAAACTAAAACACTAAACTGTTTATACGTTGATAAAATGTGTTTTTAACCATAATTATCTTTTTGATCAATATTTTAACCATAATTGTCTTATGTACTGTTTATGAAATTTACTCTTTTAGACATAAAATATAACAAAATTACAAAAAAAACCCAAGATATCTTTTTATATTATTAACTATAATTAGTTTGGGTCTGAATTGATTCAGAACAACAAGAACCAGTCCCAACCCAATTATTAATTGGGTCTGAATCAGTTGGGAACAGCAAGACCATTTCCATCTCCATCGCCAATACTTCCGTACGTGTGTAACACAAATGATAAAATCTTCTCTCATCTATGGGGTTTTTGTATTCCCAATGGCTAGCAATTAGTTGTACATTGAGTGACCTCGCCTATGATCTTCTTCGAGTATAAGAAGAATCATACTTAACCTTTATAGAAGATATATGAAATTATGAGCATAAAATGTGAATGTGCCAATGTTTTAAAAGTGCAAGGGGCAATTTGCACCCAAGGCCCAAGGTGCAAGTTGAGGCACGCACCTTTTTGAAGCAAGGCGCAAAAATACAAAAAAAAAATCCAAAAAAACATCAAAAATGCAAAAATAAAAATAGTAAACATTATATTAATAAAAAATATAAACTTAAATTAAAAAAAATGTGTTAACAAACCTATTGTCTAAAATCAAAATACATAAGCATAACATGTAAAGCATATTTAAATGAAATTTTAAAAACAATCAAACATATAGAACATATTCAAGCATGTAAAACCCTCAATCTCTTTTTCTCCTTAATTGCATTACTTAAAATAGCTTTTTTTTTTGTAAAATGGTGGTCTTCCTAGTGTTTTTCCACTAGGTTGCTGCTGTATTGTATCTTCTCTCATAAATAAAATTTTACTTACCTTTCAAAAAAAAAAAACAAAGCTAATGCAATTACATTTTGCATTCTTGATTCTACAAGCCGTCGTTGTACCAAGCCCCTCGAGGCAAGCCCAAACAAGTCCATGTTAGGGTCCTAAAATGTTAATACCTACGCAAAAAAAAATGATTTTATATTTTTAATTGCCTTTTAAGAAAATATTTTATTAGGACGAATGAATGAACAACATTCGCAAATAGGGGGTGAAGCGCAAGGCACTTGGGCTTGGGCTGAAGCACAAAAAAATTAAAAAAAAAAAAAAAAGTGCATGCCTAAGCTGAAGTGCAAGGTGCACCAAGTGCATGCCTTTTGAAAGTGTTGCGCTTGGGATCTAGGCAAGACGAATGCCTTAAAATGCTCCTTGCTTGAGCGCCCCAAGTGCACCTTTTAAATCACTAGTATGTGCATTTAGACGCTATTCATATACACATTTTTCCCAATACATATATTTTATTGTTAATAAATAAAAAAGTAAATTTTATTAAAAAAATACAATGAGGTGACAAGATATCACCCACAAAATTTCAAAGCCGAATACCTACACCCCAAGATCCTCCAATTCCAAATCCTTTTAATACAGATTTTTCTTCCCCAAATTTTACAAACACAACAAGACTCACTGCCAAAAGCCAAGGCACTTCCAAATCCAGCAAACCCCCCAAAGATCCCCAAACCAACAAATACCCTAACAACTTTCACCATTCAGGCCTCACCTAAGAAGCTTTCATCGTTCAAAGGGTATCTATTTTCCAACTCCTGGAACATTTTTCTTGCAAATTCTTCCCCTCCTTTAACAAATAACCCTAATAACTTGCTTACTTGGACTTCAATTTCTACTATTTTTTCCAAGTCCATATTTCCTTCTATTTTTCTTACTCAATCCAAGACCTCATTTTTCTCCTCTCCTTTTGTCTCTTTTTCCAAGTCCATATTTCCCACCCCTTTCTTCAACAAGTCCAAGCTAAGATTGTTTCTTGCGCTGTTATGAGAATTCGGCCTATCCTTCACCCCTTTTCTTTTGTAATACCTCTTATACTTACTGCAAGGACCAACCCCAAAGAGCCCTTCAAGTGATGAAAGACCATGTGACATGAACTAATTGACCACCATTTGAACCTCTGGGTTTCTTCAAGTCTACCAACAAAGCATCATCATTTCTGATTTTTTCAACCAAACTTGCAACTCTTTTCCTCACTAAATCCGTCCCCAGTTTTCCAATGGTGACATTGGAAAACAAATCACCACCCACCTTATCATTGCCATGGGGGCTTACAATATCCTTGGAGGATTCACACCCCTCTTTTTCCGCAAGCTGTAATTTCCTCCCCACTTCAAAATCAGACAAAAATAGCACCTTCTGATAAGAATTAAACTCCTTACCAAAATATACTTTTTGTTTGAAATGCCATCATCATCCATGCCTTATTGCCTTATCCCAACCATATGGGGTCAGCTACATGAATCCTGTTTCACCAATCCGTTCTATTTAAAACCACATCCACTATTAAATTGCTTAAATCATTTCTTACTACTTCTACCCATGAACTTTTTGGTTTACCCCTAGCTCTTCTAGCCCCCTCCACTTGTGACAAATCACTTCTTCTAACTAGATCTGTTGGTGGTCTTCTATGCACATGACCAAACCATCTTAACCTACTCTCTCTCATTTTATTACTTACCGGAGCTACTCAGTTTCTACAAATGGCTTCATTCCCGATCCTATCCTTTGTCCTTTATAATTTTTCTACTCATCCATCTTAGTATTCACATTTTTGCCTCATTTTCTAAACATGTTGTTTATTGACTTCCCAACACTCTACTCCGTACAACATAGCTGGCCTTACAACTGTTTTATAGAATTCTCCTTTTAATCCAAGTGGTATTCTCCAATCACACAAAGGTCCAGATGCACCCCGCCATTTTGCTCAACCTGCTCTAGTTCTTTGGGTTACATCCTCCTCAATCTCTCCTTTGTTATGAATTATTGAACCAAAGTATCGGAAATGGTCACATTGAGTTATCTCTTGGTCTCCAATCCTAAGTGTATCCTGATTTTCACTCCTATTATTACTAAACTAGGCATGACCACTTGTACCAAGTATGGGCTAGTATTCTGACATACTTTTTTACTCATGTATGCTTACTCATATATTATTTTACTCATGCATGCTTATCATTTTTGTTTAACACCCAGTTTTTATTATTTAATTTAAGAGATTAAATTAAATTTTATTTTTATAGAGATGAGAAACGGTTATTTAGTTATTTTTTATTTAACTACCCTTACTTTTGAAAGAATGGTTTGACACGTGGCTAAGCTTGAAGCCTCCTAATTGAAAGTTGAGCTAACCACCCTCAACTGTTTTAGAGTGATTTGAATTCTATTTAAAAATGAGAGCAAACCACTTATGAAATGATATTTCCTAAATTAATAGGAAGCCACGTGTCTGATCAGGGGGGCTCTAGTCTGACCACATTGCTTTAATATAACCTATAGGGCATTTGTCCATAAGCTTAATTTTGCATTTACTCTTTCATTAGTTTCATCAATTAAAAAAAGGTCATCCACAAACAACATGCACCCTAGTACTTCTTCTTGAATATGTTTAGTCAATTAATCTATGATCAGTGCAAATAGATAAGGGCTAAGTGTTGAACCTTGTTGAAGACCCATCGTAATTGTAAAATCTAAAGTCTCCCACTAGTGTTGTAACATTGGTTGTTACCCCCTCATACATATCCTTAATTACGTTTGTATACCTATTTTGAGCCCCTTTCTTTTCCAAGACCCACCATATTATCTCTTTAGGAACTCTATCATAAGCCTTTTCTAGATCAATGAACACCATATGAAGATCTTTCTTCTTCTCTCTGAACTTTTATATCAATCATTTCAAAAGAAATATCACTTCCATGGTTGATCTCCCTGTCATAAAGTCAAATTGATTCTCTGATACACTTGTTTCAAGTCATAATATTTGTTCAATTATTCTCTCCCAAAGTATAGTGACGCTCAGGAGTTTAATCCTTCAATAGTTATTACAACTTTGCATATCACCTTTGTATATAGTGATTTTTTTTGGATCAGTAATAAAAAAACTTTATTAATGATGTGAAGCTTTTTTTTTATGAATTTAATGATGTGAAGCTTTGTGAAACTTTAATTACAAAGGGGGGAGGTAAAATGTCTTAACTCCCCACCACCATAATACATTGGAAGAAAGTTAAAAATTAGCCCATAACATAGATTCCCTATTCATTCCTTGCTTGGCTAACCCATCTGCAAATGAGTTAGCAGTCCTCTTCACCCATCTGTATGGCATTACAATGTCCCTACTCAGCCATTTGAATTTTTTCTTTTCATTGTTATAACTCCACAAACTAATGTCTTCTTCCTTTAGCCATCAAATCACCACCTCCGAGTCACCTTCAAGAATCAAACATCTAATGTTCAGATCACTTGCTCTTTGGATACCTTCCAGGGCTGCAAGAATCTCTGCCCTAAGAGAGTCTCCTTCTCCAATTAGGCTTGAAAACATGACAG